GTTTTTCCAGGTTTGCCAATATTAATTGTAAGGGAGCTTGCTCATTTTCACTCTCTGATTCTGTTCCTTCTGCTTCTAACTATATATATTGGTTCTGTCTAGGATTCCTTAATGGTTCACTATTACTTCCTGTGGTTGGATATCTATTGGTTCTCCAGTTTTTTTGCCTTTTTTTGTTGTTATATCTTGGTTGTACTTGTCTTGAGCTATGTCTATGAGGGTAGTCTGCGGGAGTAGAGGAGATGGAGCTTACTGATTCGTTGTCAGAGTTAAAGGAGTTTAGATTTGATGTATCTTCTCCACTATTTTTTTATAAGCTGTCCTTTGTTGCATGTCTTCTTTCTCTTCTATAATAGTTCTATTTTTAGGACTTGTGTCAAATTTAGCACTCCATGATAAGTGGTAACTTTGTAAGAAAATATGTTATTTGCATACGTTGTCTCTATCTTCTTTTGTTTTGAAATAAACTACTGTAAAGTTTTGTTTTTTAAGAGTATAAGGATTTTTCGGTATATAGCATGCTTTGGCCCTAGTACCATTTAATGATCTAGCTATTAAGCTGGTATAAGTTTTAGTATGATCCATGTAAAAACCATCTCTAGTTTATTATCTTTAATCTATTTTTTGAAGAAATTATTTATATAAAAAATAATGTAATTGTTTACTTATATTTTATTATATCTTAGAATATTTATGAGCCCCTCCCTATATTTCTTTAATTGAATAGCTTGTCTTATCAAAGTGTCTTCTCAACTTTTCACTCAAACTTCTATTTCTATAAATTTGATATTGAGTATAGTTTCTACTTATTGATCTATAAGTGTTTACCAATTTGTGAAATTGTTTAAAAGAAGAATTTGGTTTTCTTTCCTTGGACTTTTTTATCTATTTAGTTACAGGAAAAGACAAACTTATGAGAGAACTATCTTAACTAGTTTGACTATTATTTCTAGATATAATGAAGAACAATTGCTAGTAGAGTTGTATAAAAGCTGATATAGTATAAAGTAGACTTTGCTATTTAGAAATATAATCTTTTCTAGTATATCAGTTGAAATAGTAGGATATATTGCCCAATATGGTTTCTTTTTATCAGGATTTGTTGATACTATTTCTATTTGCAAGTTATAGTTTGTTAAATTAATATTTTGCAGTAATTTCAATAGCAGGTCCTAGTTTTTTGTTACTTTATTTAGAATGTTTTTGCATTAGGAAAGAACTGATCTTTATATTTATAAAAAAGATTTGAATCATTTTTCAATCTTTAAGTGTTATTGTGGTAGTATTGATAAGTTAATCTAAAAACATAATTTTGTGTTTATGTAAAAATGGAATAATCTTTTCATATTCTTTATCATTTTGTAGAATGAATTTGATAGACAGTATGCCTCTCTAATAGTTGAAATTGATTAATAAACTATAATCTATCCTGGCTGTGGGTATATAAAAAAAAATAACAACAAAACATTAAGATTAAATTATTTGATATACATAATTATTAAACATAAATAAATATACGATTGCATAATTTAATTAACACTGCAATTGTTACTTGACAATTAATTAAAAGAATTCATTCTTATATAAAAGGCAGTGAAATCTTTGCGAAATCCAATTTATATGACAGACACAGTAGCAAAATTTGTAATTTTATTGCGAAATTCTAATATGAAACATTTGAATTCCAAAGGTTCATAATTCATATCTTCAGAACTCACCAACCGTCTTATTGATTATTTGCATTAATTTATAAAGTTTACCTATTTTATATCTAACTACCGCCCAAGGAACACCATTGAATACAATTCTTGGATAATAACTACTCCTAACCGCATCCTGTTTACTAACTGTTTTTACAAATTTCTTAATTGAATCGTAATCTTTACCGTCAATGTGAAGACAGGGGGGGTATTCGTGAAATATTGCATTATTATTTTCATAACTTACTATATCTCCTTCCTTTAAGTATCCCAGGCGATACAGAAAGGGGAGCGTAAGGTTTGGTATACCATCCCCCTCTGATGGTAATTTACTTATCAAATCTTTAAGTTCGTTTTTGCACCCTTCTGAGATGCTGAAGTCTTGAACCTCCATTTTATTCATGCCATTCGTAATAATATCAATTTTATCGGTACTACTAATATTATTAGCAGTCTCATCAATATCTGCATCCGTATCATCATCAGCATTCTCTTCTTGTTCTGTAAGAAAAAACCGAATAACTAAGACACAATAATGATTCCCTTAATCTAGCAAAAAAAATCATGACCGTTCACTTACCTATTTTTTTTTTTATTTCGTTAGCAAAATCCGCAAGTCTCGTTGCAGGCCCTCTTCTTAATCCATCTTGCATGAGCTCTTCCTTGGCTATCATTAAGAAGTCACGGCCAGAAATCTTTTCATCGCGGAGGATATTACAATCATCATTGTCAAGATGCAAACTCTCTTCCCTACACAAAAATTCGATGAGCTTCTCCGTATCTAACCTTTTGATCTCTTTGATCGAAATAGAATCTAGTGTAATGATTTTTTCGTACATGGGAGACACATTCCTGAAATAAATATAATTTTTCGTATTTATAACTCATTAAACTATACTAAACAAAATAGTATTCATGCGCCGATATGCATGTGCATTCGATTGTTTCCATTTTTTATTAACTGCGCAATTTTCCATTTAACCTTATTAAACTTACATATTGCCGATTCATGCACAGATGAATAGATCAAAATAAAACCATACTTTCATTGAAGCATACTTTGCAAACACACCGCAAAGCATTTTTCATATTACTCTCGATAATAGGGCAGGCAGGTCTCGAGTATTAATAGCACTAAAGGCACAGTGTCATGGCAAGGTCTTGTTTTCTAGAAAATTTACTAGATTCAAGTCATTTCGAACATACAGTATAGTCAAGAATTTCATTTTATTGAAATTTTATTGGTTGAATATTTGAAGTTGAATAATAAAACTTGCAACAAAAGATAAACAACATATATACAGTATGTGTTTTATATGTTATTATCACATTTATAGCAAGTATTGTTCTCATTATAGTTATTAACTTAAATCAATGCAAGTATTTTAAGAACTGTTATGACAAATTGAACCTACAGTATGTATTGAAATTGCAACTATTATATCTAGTATTTAAAAAAAAAGTATTCAATAATTATAATATCTCTTTTAGTTCAATTATTAAAACATAAGGATCTATTATATATTTTTCTATTTTATTATATTAATTTATCAATTTAATATATAAAATACAATAAAATATATTAGTTTATGCAATTTTATATATATATATTCTTTCTTTCTTTCTTTCTTTTTTAACTTGCAATCATACTATAATGGCTTGTCTTTATTGAGAAATTAAAACAAAATCTATAATAGTTTACAAACTTTTACAAAGTAATTAACTTATTTTTATATATAAGTATTCTAAGTCAGATTTTGGGAAATAATATTATATTTTTCTAATAGATTGATAATAACCTCTATTTAGTAGAATTACAACAGTTTGTCACTGTTGATTAATTCAAAAACCAAAAAATTACTATGTTAAAAGAGAAAGAGGACAATTTAAAGCCTATAAAAAAAATCTAAAAATAAAAACATCCTTTTCTTAAAAGAAATCTATAGTCTTTTTACTTCATTTGAATCTCAAAAGAAATCATCTTTTTTATTACCTGTGGCATTTAACAAGACAATTCAACTAGCCTTTCATTTAAGCAAGTATTGGATTGGGATATCTCAAGAAAAATATTTAGATTTTAGCTTTTTTTATTAAAGTTTTGTTACAACCTGAAAAACTTAAGTAAAAGACAGAAGTTTGTAATTCATAATATTCATTATTTAATTTTTTGATATCATGAAAATCTTTATTAAGGAACTTGAGCTTTTTATAGGCAAATATTTTTAGAACATTCTTTCAAATCATCAATAATATTATCGGAACACATAAATACAATCAATAAGAGCTTGTTTACATTTCAGAAACCAATATATTTAATATCAATCAATTACTTTTAGTGAGAATTTGTGCTATCAAAAATTCAAGGTCAAACTGAAGTAAGCAAAATTCCTTAGAAAACCATGAAAGTAAAAGCTCTAAGAGAGCTAGAACAGTTTAAAAGGGAGAAAGTATACCTTTTAACTAAAATAAAACCTTTATAAATCTTTTGCTTCAAAGGTTAAAAGGATTTTCAAGTATTTCACAATTGTTTTTTTTCCTTTTGAGAACTTTTTTGCTATTAGTATTAAGGTATTGCTTGACTTTTTTTTGATACTGGAAGTCAGTTTTTGGATGAAGAGGCTTGTAAACAATAGAAGAAGAGTAAAAATGACTTTTGAAGTCAGACTTCAAGTTGTTTTATGAAAAGTGTTAAGACTTTATTAATAAAGAAATAAAAAAACTTCTTGTGAACATCTTTTTTGTATAGTTAGAAGATCAATAAAATGTTTTTTTTAATATATTCTTTTTTAATTTATTTTTTTTTACTTAATAGTTATAAGATTTTTTTTTTTTAATTGTTAACTCAACTATATTTATTAGTGATAATAGAATAAAATTCAAAATAAATTAAAATTAATATAACTATTAAGAATACTATCAAACTTCCTAAAACCTAACAGTTTATTGGGTTGTATTTTATTATTTAAAATCAAAAGAGACTAATCTAAAATTACTTTTAAACTAGTATTAAAAATATAAAAAAAAAACACTAGAATACTATTAAATAAAAACTTAAATTTTCTCTACTACTGATTATCCACTAAGACTAATATCAAGAAAAAAGTCAATATTTACAGATTATCCACTGGAATACTGTATCTCTTTATCTTTAAAAGAGAAAGAAATGTCTTTTTTTACATTTTCTTTTTTTTAGATAGAAGGGAAATAGTTTCAGTGATCAGCTTTATTGTCATTATCTTATCTAAGAGTCTATCTAAAGAACTACTCATCCAAAGATCAGATAAGACCTATGATTAGAAGAGTGCCTTAAAACTTGTAAGGAGATTAATTATCCAATCTTAAAGATAATACTAGCTTCAAGCATTAGTTACTTATTTAAAAAAGTACAACTCTTTCAAAGTCAGGCTAAGTCTTTAAGAAATCTTCTAATTTAGTAATAGTTTTTAATAAGTACTTTTACTAAAAATAAGATTAATGGATAATATTGACAATTAAGATACCATACTTAAGAGGGGATCCAGTTAAAAGTCTTAATATAGATCTTTAGTTTGTAATTCTCCTACAACCATGGATCAGAAATAAAAAATCCATCAACTGGGAAAAACTCTCTTATTCACCTTGTTAGTTTTTATAAAAATAAAACAAATCTTTACCTATCTGTAAGAGTTACTAAAATCTACTTGACTATCAAGAATATGGGACTTCAATACTAGAAATAATTGAAGTATCTTATATCCTTTACTATGATTAAATAAATTCTTTCTTTTTTAATTTCTACTAAAAGATGTAGTTTCAACAAATAGGTCTAAGTATATATAATTCTTAGAGTGATTATATTAAATTAAGTTAATAGCCATAATAAGAACAATACCTATTTGCAAGAAGGTAGTACAAAAAGGAACATGTGAAAAATATATGTCTATCTTGTTTATCTTTTGTTACTAATATTATTATTCAGCTCCAAATTCTTAGCCAATAAAATTCCAGCAGATTCAATATAACCAAAAATTCAAGATTAGAAGGAAATAAACAAAATTTTTAAAAAAAAACTGAAAATTTATTTATATGTTTCAGGAAACTTGGGATCTAGTAAATTTCTTAGAGAATAAAACTACTATGTATGGTATAGCCTTTGGCAAATACTCTTCCTGTAAATACTGTTCTATTATAAAGATATTAAGAAAAGTTTTTAATCAAAAATTTTTTTCCTAAGTATTCTTTTTTTTTCATTAGAAGCCCAGGTTAAACTTTCTTTACTTTTGACTTAAAACTAATATTCAAATCAACCAGAGAAATGAAAAAAAATAAAACTGAATAAGTGATACTTTGCAATATATTTATAAAATATATTTGATAATAGTGTAGCAACTTTATTAGCATAAAAATATAAAACTTTTGACAAATATTGCTTTAGAAGTGGTGGTAAAATTTATTAGCAAAAAAAGTTCTTAATAGTTATAAAAAATAAATATTAAATAAAATTATATATTATTAAATTATATAATAAATAATACTAAATTATATAGTAGAAATTAATTAATAATTTAAAAAAACTCTTTCCGCTGATCCTCTGATCACACATAAAAAAGATGTTTGCAAGAAGTTTTTATACTTCTTTGCTAATAAAGTCTTAATAATTTCATTAAAACAACTTGAAGTATGACTTCAAGAGTCGTCTCTATCCTTTCCCTTTTATTTACAAACCTCTTTACTCAAAAACTTGACTTCTAGTGACCAAGAAAAGTCAAGAAACACCTTTGATACCAATGGCA